AGAAGAAGAAGAACGAGGGCAGGGGTGAAGACTGCCTTGATGATGAGGGAGGTGTACAGTGAAAACCAAAGACACAAAACTAACCAATGCATCTTCCATCATAGGGCATTTAGTCATGCTATTAAGAAACATAACTTGTTGAAAGTTCCACAAGTTAGGTTCTCAAGAAACACAAACTATAGGTATAATATAAACAACATTCCGAACCATTTGAAAGGACCTTAAATCAGACAAACAAACTAAAATAAATAATCACAACTGAATTGTAAATGTCAACAAAAGGGCCATAAGCATATGGGAAAATACCTTTTCTCACAATCGACAAATGGGAAGAATTCTGATTCAAGTCCTCAATTTATCCACGACTACGAGCAGCTTCAAGTCACTAAAATCCCTCAAGCACTTTCACTCTTTTAGCATGTCTGCATTTTCCATTACCATTAATCAATTAATCGTTATTTGGTGCAAAATATGAAGAGAGGAAAGAGGGAAAATATGAAGAGGGAGAGGAAAGAGAGAAGTCGGCTGTTGTTGGCTAAGCTTGGTGTGTTGTGTGCGCGTAGAATCTATGTTGGGTTGGGCCTGTTGGCTTAGGGTTTTAGATTGACAAAAAATCCTTTTTTTTAATTGACAGGTCGGGTTGGGTAGTTTTTGTCAGGTTTTATAGGTTAACCCACAACCCGACCCGCTTCGATTTTCCAAAAATCGAACCTAATAAAAAAATGGAAAAAAATCGACACAACCCGATAGGGTTGGTTTGGTTCTGCCCAGTTCGCCGGGTTCGGTTGGTTTTTGCCCACCCATACTTAAAAATGGTAGACAAATAAGGAAAATGGACAGAAATTTGCAAATAGATACACTTGGCAGCAATTCATTGGGAGATGAAAAAATTAAAAAAAAAAAAACACACGAATCACAGATCGCCATGTCTGTCTGTTTTTTTCTCCTGTCCGTGTTTTCCTGTTTGAGTAGATTAATTCTTAATTTTTAGTTGAATAATCGACTTATGAAAATTGTATAAATTCGTGTTAGCACGAGACATAGTCCTTGTGCATTTGAAGTTAGTTTATTTCGTAACTTGGACTAGTGGTCGGAACTTCTAAGTGATGCATGTTGTTTTGAGGAGCGTAACAATTCAACGAAATGTTTTTGACATTTAGGGCATATGTGATAGCTTTCTGAAAAAAAAAAAATAATAATAAATTATGGGTCCCATTAAAATGTGTTGTTAAAATTAAAATTTTAGTACGATTTTACCAAACAAGATCTAAAGATGAATTGTATCATTGTAGTAAAAGGTTGAGGGTTAACTTGTTTAAAATAGAATGGAAATCTATTGCGCCATTTTTCCGTTATTTCATGTCTATGTTCTAGCGTGTATGTCGTCCTACAATTTTCATACAATCAACTATCACAATTTTGAAAGAAATTATTGTCCTATACTATAATCTAACTAAAAAATAAAAGAGGCACTTTTCCATGTACTGTTCACAAGCCGGTTCTCAAACTAAAACTTTGTGCAGCCGTCCCATGAAGCTGAGCCGTCGGCTCAGCCATTGGGATTTGTTCATGATGTCTCCCGATTTCTAGAGTCTTCACTTACTCTCATTTCTGACCTTTAATTTTCTCTCTCTTGTCCTCTCTTGTTCGTAGATCTCAAAAGAGTTTCTTCTCGAGTTTAATCTCACAGAAAATTATAAAATTTGTGCCTCTTCACCGGCAGTAAGCTTCTCACATGCACAGCCTCTCCGACCTCTCCGCCGGTAGCAAGCCTCGAGCGCTCGACCTCGGCTCCCGCTTCGAGCTCTTCGATTTGCAGGTTTTTGAAGTGGTTATAGTTTTTTCCAATCTCGGAGTCATCATTTTCGTGGGTTGTCGGTAAT